GTGTTGTGTGAGGCGTGTGCACGTGGGGACGTGTGTGAGTGTAGGAGGGTGTTGTGTGAGGCGTGGGGACGTGGGAGCACTCGTGTGAGTGTATTTGTGTGTGTGAGTCAGTAGAAGCAGTTGTGCTGAGCACAGACTAGATGGGGTGTAAGGGTGACTCTGGATGGGCCTGGCTCAGCTGGGGTGGGGCAGTGGGAGGGTCTGGGCTTCCCAGCCCTGGGAACATCTTGTCCAAGCCCATGGCTGTGTCCATGTCTACAGAGGCCCGGGGTCCTGAACCATGGAGATGTCGTTACTAGGAGAACATAAGGTCCCGATCAGGGTGGGCAGGTCTGAGGGTGAGGAGTGTGGACGGGAGCCAGTGGGCCGGTCTAAGGAGTGTGGACAGGGGACAATGGGCAAGTCTGAGGGTGAGGAACTTGGACAGTGGGCAGGTCTGAGGGTGAGGAGTGTGGACAGTGGGCAGGTCTGAGTGTGAGGAGTATGGACAATGGGCAGGTCTGAGGGTGAGCAGTGTGGATGGGGGATGGTGGGCCAGTCTGAGGAGTGTGGACAGGGGACAGTGGGCAGGTCTGAGGGTGTGGAGTGTGGATCGGGGTGTCGAGTATGTATTGGGGTTGGGGGCAGCATCAGGTCCTCAGCATGTCCTAGCTCTGTGGTCACCAGCATATCTGGTGAGGATGCCAGAGGCTCTGTAGCCCTCTGGCTAGGTCCCGGCAGAAGCATCTTTGGAAGCTCCAGGACCCGAGGGGTGGGGGGGCGGTCAGTTCCTTTCGGCCCCAAACCCTGGCTTCTGCTGCTACAGGAGCCGTTGGGCCGCCACTGCTGAGGGTGGAACGGCCGTGACTCTCAGAGACATGAGACATGAGAACGCAGTGGGGACGCGTGGAGGGTCTTCAGCAGGAGGAGAATGGTGGGGTCCCAGCCCACTAGAGGAGGGAGGGGAGCTCACCTGCCCTACTCCTTGGTGGGGAAACTGAGGCCTGGAGCGGGAAGGGACTGGCTGGCAGCACTAGGGAGGCACGCTAGTCTTCTCACCCCCCAGCAGGCCACTTGCTCTTCTTCCCAACCCTGAGCACTGGTTGCCTGGGCAGGTAGCAGGGGTCCTGGAGGGGCTTGGATTCCAGACCTTGGACAGTGCTTGGCCCTCAAAACCCCTGAAAGAAGAGAGTGGGGTGGGGACCTTTGAGGACTCTGTAGTTGCCAGGGGCCTTCAGGGTGACTTGGGGACAGGGCCTGGAGCGTCCACTCTGGGCTGCCCAGTGATGGCAGCGAGCACAGCAACGTCGCTAGAACTGTAATGGAGGCAATTATCAGCACAACGCATCCGGTGGGTCCTGGGAAGTGAAGCTCAGACCCTTTCACTCTAGCCTTTACCAATTCTGACGCCAGCAGCTCTTCCCCACTCCCCCACCCCCACCGCCCCATGCTACTTCTCCTCAGGGTCCAGTGACCTCTCGCAGTGGTCACACTCAGTTAAGTGGTTATTAAAGGACTGGGTACAACCACCTCAGAGCCAGGCTGCACGCGGGCTGGCTGTCTCCCTTCCTCAGTGCAAGACAGCCCTTTCAGTCCATCTCCACAGGACAGGCCTCTTCGCCACCCCCTGAGGACTCCTCTTGGTCCTGATGTCTGTCCCCACTGGCCAACTGCTGGGCCCCTTTTAGGCCTCTGGCCATCTTCCATGTTACAGCACTTGACCAGCCTTGTAGCTCTTTTAGGGGGTCTCTTGCCTTTTCTCTCTCCTGTTGCTGCTTTTCTTCTTTGTCTGCCAGACCCCTGTGGGGTTGGCTGTATGTATAGACACAGCAACGCCTCAGCATCTCAAGGCTTGGTCTTCCCACCGGGGCCACAAACTGACCATTCCCCTCTCAGTGGACCACAGACACTTCACAGAGCAGGATGCCGCCCTGGATGGACTAAATGCATCAAAGCTAAGTTGTTTATGACTTGCCCAGGAAACGGCATCCAACCTGGGCAAAAGTAACCCTCTGAGGTGGAAAACTAGGGCAAAGCAGCTCTTCTGAGATGTTGTCTCCAAAGAACCGAGACGAAAGGCCACATGAAGGAATTCACGTCACCACAGCGATCCCTCTGGCCTTTTTGCAGTGGGTTCTTTCACATGCTTGCCAGTCCCAACCAGTCATTGGCAGTTCATCTGTAGGGCAAAAGCTTTCAGCGGAGTCCACTTGGTCCAGCGGCAAGAGGTCATCGGATCTGCTGGAGTTCTCCAAAGTCCGCTCATCTTTACCCTTTCTGAAGGCTGATACCATTTTCTTGCTCTGAGCCTCTCTCAAAGTGTCTACATAGAAAAACTTTTCAGGGACTTTGGGTTTGACCGTTGAACCAGTGTGTCTAAAGTTATAGTTCTTACCATCACTTTACCCCTGCTGACAACACCCCAAGCCGCATCACACACTCGATCAGCAGCTTCACCCCCTCTATCTTCCCTAGACCCTTCAGGAGATGGGGATCCTCTCATGACCCCATGTTTCGGGTATAAGCACATTCATAAACCACAATGCCTTTATCCCCCCTCATTTTAGATAAATTTTCTTTCCTTGTCAAACCAGTGTTCTGTGGAGATAGTACGTCCCTTGGACTAAGTCTTTGGTTCCAGTTGCATCTTTGGACATCTGCGTTCATAAGCAGAGTCCAGTCCCGGGCAGCCAACAGATTGTAGTAACACACATCAGTTCCTGGTGTCAAAAATTCCTCTCCTCCCCATACCCAGGGCCACATCATCGTATTTCCATTCAGTCGGGGCCAGCTCATCCAAGTGTAGCCACAGGTATCATCTGTGGGCTCAGGAGTCTATGCTCCTTTCTGTACTTCTCTCTCTTATCCATAGCCCCCTGAGGTTAGGTCAGTGGGAGCCAACAAACCATGTGCAAGTCCAGCCTATCTCTTCCTGCTGCATCGTATTGCTGCTGGTCTTGTGGATCCAGGTGGTCATCCCACGCAAGCACGCCAGGCTGTCTGCTCATCGACTTCCGTTAGCTTTCAGTCCTTCCTGGAAGAGATTTCTTCTGCTGGACACCGGCATGGCCTGCTCCAACAGCCCCCATCAGGTCCCATAGGGGTCTGCCCCACGTGGACACCTTTTACTCTCTTATCCCCCAGCACATAGCTCTTTGGTGAGTCAAGTCTTCAGCCACTGTGGTACTCAATCCACGTTTAATCTAATTGTCTCTCCAGTGCCAACATCCTGACACCACAGCCTTTGGACGTATGCCCATTTACTGTTTCCCATTTTAGCACTGCCCTGGTGTGGTACTATGGAATAAACACTGGACTGTGAACTACAAGGTTGGTGCTTCAAACCCACCAGCCACTCCTTGGAAAGCTATACAGGGTCGCTGTGAGTCGATAACACTTAGCAACCATCAAGTACTGCCTGGAGAATGGAGTTAACATAGTCTCTCTAATTTTTAATACAATACTCAATACCACGTAGGAGGGAAGAGTCTAGTACATTCAAACATTTCAAATTCCAGTTTCATCTTGTTTTCCATTCGTTATCTAACCCATTGGTCAGCACTGGGCTGAACTAGGAGACTCTGGACTCTTATCAGTCAACCTGCTTAACTGCTGGGCTTTCGCCCCAAGCCACTCGGGGTGCGGCTCTCCTAACCACTGCTTCAGCAGAGCATCTCTTCCTGTCTTGTTCCCCATTACAGGTAGTAGCAACCAGAATAGAGAGCAAAACCCAAGAATCGAAAGTTTCTCGTCTTCCTCCTGTACCCCTTCTCCCATCCCCAAAACCATAGATGAGTCAGGACCATTGCTGCGAACCCCACCCTACTGATACCAACTGTATGGATAACTTCAAGTGTAAGAGTCGCCTTCAGCACACAGCTGATCCCCATGACACACACCTACCCTGCAACCAGCTGCCCCACCAGTGCTCTCTCTGCCTCTCCACTGGAACCCACAGACCATGATTGCAGTTCAAGTGGTCCATTAGGGACCAGGAAGCACGGAGGCAGGGGCTCCCTCTCAAGGCTGCCATCATCCCTGCCAGCTCTGCTACAGACCTTTCTGCTCTCCTCACTGCCTTCAGGAGTGAGGAACAACCACAAAACCCCTTCAAGGATTCATTCTCTCAATCTCCTCTCTCTCCCTCTGTCCACCCTTCCATCTCTTCTCTCCCTTCCTCTCTGCATCTCTCTTTCCTTTCTCCATCTCTTCTCTCTTTTCTTTCTCTTCCCACCCTCTCTCCTCCCTTTTCTCCCTTGTTTCTTTCTATCTGCTGAACCTCAGTGGGTTGGCTGTACACAGAGACCCCTCAATTTCAAGGCATGGCCCTCCCACCAGAGCCATGAACCGAGCCACCCCACCAGTAGGCCACAGATACATCATTTACGTAGTAGGTTACAATGCATAACACATTGAACAATCCCTGAGAGGAACATATTAATCACAGGGCAGGTTGCAGTCCGGGACCCCATAAAAAGTATCCAGCCACCTTAGCCAGCCAATAGCAGCCAACCTGGACACACGTCGTAAACCCTCTAGGGGCAATAGGAGCTCCTCAAGGCTTAGGGGGAGCTCTCCCAAGCTCGTTTTCCAAAGAACCAAGGTGATAGTCACAGGAAGGCGAAGTCATTTCATCCCAGGTACTTGGAGCCAGGGCAGGTGCTGCCAAATGCTGGTTCTGGGAAAGCATGACTAGGAGGCAGAGACCAGGACTGGGTGGGGACCCAGTCCTTGAAGATGGAAGAGGAGGCACTCAGAAGGCAGGGGTGCTTGACCTGGGTGGGGGACAAGGAGCTGGGAATGCTGGGAGTCCTTGTCCTGGCCAGACCCTAGTGTCCAGCCCCTTCCGAGTGCCTTGGCCTTTCTATCTTCCCTGGCTCCCTTCCTGTGTACTCCATAGCCACCCATCCCTTGTCCGTTTGGGAGGCTGATGGGGTAGGCATCATGGAGCAGACCCCAGTCCCTACCACAGCAATACCAACTCTGCAGCTCCCCAAGTCATGGAGCAGCAAGGACCAGGGTCTGGGCAGTTTGCTGAACCCCCTGGGGCAGCACAAGCCCCCTGCTGATGCTGGAGGGGCAGGACCCTGGCAAGAGGGGGCCTCTCTTTCTCTCATGCCAGGTGGGGCCGGGCCGAACAGGACTCGCCACAAGGAGGGAAGCTGCCCTTTTTTTCTTTTTGCATCTCTGTCCCTGGTCCTGTCTGCCTGTCTGTCTGTCTGTCTGCCATCTCTCTTGGGCTCTGCCTGTCTCTTTCTCTCCTTCCAGAGCCAGTGCTCAGGGGCCTGACTAGCACCCCTCCTGAAGGCCACCTTCGACTGCAGTCAGGCATCCCTTGCTTGGGGGCCTGAGGGGTGTCTGATCCGGGATCACCTTCTCTCCTTCCCTGATACCTCCTGGACAGAAAACAGGGTTTCCCCCCAGGGGCTCCCTCCTGGCACCCCTGCTGGGAGCCTCTGAGCTGGGGGGTACACAGAGAAGCCCTCCCCACATCAGGCAGCAGCAAGGTTGGGAATGGGGTGGTCTTAGGAGAGTGAGGTGGTAAGGCCAAGTTCCAGAGGCTGGGGGAAGGACTGGAGGGTGAGAGCCATCCGGAGCATCCGAGTGGAGGGACCCTGTAGGGACCCCGAGGGACAGAGGTGGGGTGGGGTGGAAGGTGGCAGGCCAGCACTGACCCTCTGCTGCCCACTGCCCTCAGGGCCTCTCTGTGGAGTTCCTGCGTGGTGCTGCCGCTGCTGGCGCTGACCTGGATGTCCGCCGTCCTTGCGGTCACCGACCGCCGCTCCGCCCTCTTCCAGATCCTCTTTGCTGTCTTCGACTCGCTGGAGGGCTTCGTCATTGTGATGGTGCACTGCATCCTCCGCAGAGAGGTGGGCCCGGGGGGTGGGGCGACGGGTTGCCTCGGGGGGTACCACGTGCATCCACTCACTAGAAACCAGCCACCACCACCCAGGGCCTCAGGTGCCCCTGCAGAACTGAGCGCCACCGCGTTCTCGGCTGATTTCTGGGAAGACCGTGAGACCTGGCTCAGCAACTGCCTTGGGGTGGACTGGACTCTCCCACCTTTCCATTAGCAGCAGCCACTGCTTTTGAGTTCTGTGCTTCTCTAAAGTAGACATGCTGCTGCTCCAGCCTGGGGTCCAGCGGTCATCTAGGCAGGCCTGAACCCAGGGCATTGGAGCCAATGTCCGTGTGAGCCTGGGCATGTCCCCTCCCAGCTTCGGGCATTTTCTGGCCCTCCCCAGAGGGTGTCCAAGGAGGGTTTTCACCACACAGTACCCCAAAGACCCCCTGGCTGGTAGTAGTGATTGAAGAGGGATGCTCCCCATTCTTGGGGTGCTACATCCTGACCCGGATGGAAGAGGTGTGCCCCTCAAATCCATCTGGGTTCTCTAGAAAAGCAAAACTAGTGAGACTTATTGACAGGGAGAGAGGGAGGTTTGTACATGGAATTGGCTCGTGCAATTATGGGGACAGGCACTCCCCAAATCTGGGTCAAGCGGCAGACTGACAGCCTCTGGTGGTCCATGGGAAAGGGGATGGTGAAGCCTCAGTTGTACGTCAGACGGCAGGCTCATGTCTCCAGCAACAAGAAGAGCTTAGGGTTGAGAGAGATCAAGCTTTGCCAGAACATCAGTGTATACCCAGAGATCAGTGTGTACCCCGAACATCAGTGTGTACCCGGAACGTCATTGTGTACCTGGAGCATCAATGTGTACCTGGAGCAGTCCACACCCTCAAGGAAACTGATCTTGTCTGATCACAAAGTGGTGACTTTACAGCACCTTAGTGAAGAGCAGCCAGCCCAGCGTCTGCCATGCCCCGAGCATCACAGTACAACCACACCAACACAATGTGAATTGTAACTAGCAGAGCGGGGGGAGTGTAGGCCCCCGGGGGTGGGGGGCAGTCTCTGAGCTGTGCCCTCCAGTGGAGCAGGCAGACCAAGATGGTGGGTCAGATGCACCCATTCCTCACCCCCTCGTGGAGAGAAGACAAAGGGACTTTACAAGCACATAGCTACAGGAGGACAGGCTGTAGGCAGAGACAAAACCAGGGAAGTCGGGGAGCAGGACACATGTCCGTGGTCTTAGCTGACCAAGGACACCAAGTCTTGGACCCACAGCAAGGCCATACAATGTCAGGAAGCTTCTAGAAGTGGGGCCTCTGGGTCTCTCTCAACAGCAGAGGGACACCATTCTGCTAAAAAAAAACGACTTCTGACTTCTGATCCCCGTTAGGTGGGCAGCTCTGTCCTTACTCCTCCTGGAGCCAAGGGCTTTCCTCTTGTGGGAACATGGACTGAGGGGCCCCCATGACCACCTGCACCTTGGTAGGGGTCACCACACTGAGAAAGGCTTGGGAAGGTGTCCATGCTGGCAGGGCACCGTCAGCCCAGACCCCAGACTCACACCCCACACCATCACTGGAAGCCCCTCTCTAGGGACCCAGACCAGGGGAAGGTCCCACTTGGGTCACTGGGAAAGCAGTCCACTTCAGAGGCCTGGAGCACATAGTCAACCACCTGCAAACATTGAGGGGATTACTAGGGCCCCTGTCTAGTCCTGAGCTTGAGGGGAAGCTCTGACATACAGATGGAACTTGGGGAGCAAAGGCTACCCAAGCAGAACACCCTGCTGCCCCTCCCCATGAGAGGATGCCCTTACCCTGACCAGCACCTGGAAAGGAGGCCCCAACCCGCCCTGTTCTGTAGCGATAAGTTCCAGCCAACGGCATGGTCCTGACAGGTCAAACCCAGGTGTCATGCTGGTCACCACCATGCTGGCTTGTGTGAAATGAGACCAGCAGGATAAAATGAGTGTGTTCAGGACTCTAGACCATGGAAGCCCCTCAGGACCCTCAGAGCAGAGACTGTCTCCCAGAGGACAGAAAAGATGGAGAACCGCAGAGGAGATGGTTTCTAATGACGGTGACACGGTCAGTTCCAAAGGCCCGTGGATTGTGGGCAAGAAGAGGACAAAAGTAGAGAGGATAGGCTTGTCAGCGAAATGAGACTGAGATACTGCACTGAAAGTGGGGACCCTGGGAATGCGTGTCATCCGGAAACTCCCGGACACAGTGTGGGGGGAGGGTAGACACAGAAGACACCCTGAGCCCCACGTTCAGGTCGAGATCTCCCAGGAGTCCTTATGTGTGGGTGTCCTGCTACCTCAGGACATCAGAGTGGGGTGGAAGGAGCCTGCCCAGGGCTGAGGGAGTCAGGGAGCCCACCAAGTCTGCAGTCCCCACAACAGATACGGCCTGCAGGGGGTGTACTGGGAAGACAGATGGGGCGCGGCTGAGCCTGGCTCTTGCAGAGCAGGGCTTGTACAGGACAGAGGCCTGGGCGCCCCCTCCTCACTCAGGCAGAAAGAGCACTCCCCCACTTGCCTCCCACTGGACACGCAATTTTGTTAAACGCCGTCAACTCACAGCGACCCTGTGTGGGGTTTCCGAGGAGTGACTGGTGGGTTTGAACTGCCGACCTTGTGGGTTTGCAGTTCAGTGCTGATCCTACAGTGCCGCACCAGGAGTCCACAATAGGGGTTTACTGACTGTGGTCTCCTGGTGTGTGGCTGTTGGTTAATGTGCTGGACTGCAAAGTCCACTTGAACCGGGAGACCAGCTGCTCCTTTGAAACCCTATACAGGGTCATTATGGGTCAGAACCCAACTCGATGGCACTTAACACAACATAACAAATGTGGGCTGCTTGACCAGTGAGCCAGCAGCTGGGAGGGAGGTTCTAAAATCAGCAAAGCCCTGGGTTTTGACCCTGGCCCTGCCTGCCTGCTGTGTGGCCTCCGGCAGGTCTCTTACCCTCTCTGGGCCTTGTGCCCCCATCATCTGCATGAGAGGAGGGTGGATGGCTGGCTGCTGGGCCCTCACATGGTACACTGCAGAGGCTAGAAGAGTGGGATGCGGCATGGGCCTGTGGAGGTCTGGGTGGCATGTGTCCGGGACCTTCCCCAACCTGCCTGCTATAGCCACCAGCCTTTTGTGGTTCTCAAGAGCCTCAGAATTGGTGTCTGTGGTGGGTGAATAGAGGGCTGGCCCCTGGCCTGTCCCGTCTGACCTCCTCAGCCCGACTCAACAGTGTCTCTGGATACCCCTCTCCACCTCCACGGAGCCCCCTGACCCTTCTGCCAAGATGCCACAGGTCCTTGTGGCCCCAGAGGGAATTGAACTGTGTGCCCCCTAAAGAGAGGCACCCTAACCCCGAGAATGTGGAGATGTGGCCTTGTTTGGAAAGAGGGTCTTTGCGGATGTGATGAGGTGAAAGAGGTGGAGATGAAACCCAGACCGCAGATGTCCTGGGAGTCCCTGGATGGCACAGAGGAAGTTCTCAGCCACTAGGCTGGCAGTGCCCCCCCACCCACCCACCCAGAGGCACACTGGAACACAGGCCTGGCAATACGGAAAGGGACCTCTCACAACAGCACACATTCTGCATAAAGAAAACAACGGCACAGTCTTAGGAGGCCTTTAGAGGGAACTGTGGAGGGAGAGGGCCGGACAAAGATGGGGGGACGTGGCTACAAGCCGTCAGCAGGAGCTTGAGAGTGGCCTGCCACAGACTGCAGCCCTGTGACCCCTTGAACTCAGACTTTAGTCCGTTCTCTTGGAGGGCTTTAAGGCCTGGTTTGTGGCCCTGTTCTTCAGAGTCTGCCCTTATCACTAATGTCCCTTCTGTGAACTGTTCTCTGCTGTTGTGCCCGGATCCAGGAGTTCGAGCTCCGCATCCGGCATGGGGCTCCCCCAGCTGATGGGGTCCAGGCCGTACAGGGCAGCATCCGGAGGAGGAGACGGTGGGTGGAAAGCCTAGCACTGCTGCAGGGCCACGCCGAGCACCCTCGTGGGCATTCAGCTGAGGCACTGACCACCTCTGCTCTTTGTCCCCAGGTTCAGGATGCTGTGAAGTGCCGCATGGTGGACCGTCAGGAAGAGGGCAATGGGGACTCGGGGGGCTCCTTCCAGAATGGCCACGCCCAGCTCATGGTAGGACCCGGCCCTGGGATGCAGACCCCCCAAGTGCTGTCCACCTGCCAGGGACCCAGAGTTGCACAAGGTCCCCCATTAGAGGAGACCCAGGCTCCGTGTACCACTGGGAATCTCAGGCTCGCCAAGGTTCCTGTCCCGGTTTCAGGCTAGCAAGGGACCGTGCTGACAAGTCCTCGTGGATGCTGATGGCCAGCTGTGCCCTTGTCCACGCAGCACTCTCTGGTGTATCCACCCTTGTCAGCTCCTGCCTCCAGCCATGCCACACCCCAATCTCAGCCTAGGAAAGGGACTGGCTTACACAGCCTTAAACCTGGGCAGTCACCGCCCCCTACACACACGCACACACTCTGACCTGACAGGACTCAGCTGCCCCCCAGACTAGGGTCTGCTCTCTGTCCCCTCACTCTGTCCCTCTGGTGACTACCTTCGTAGTCCCCCGTCACCCAGCCCCTGTTTAGCTCCTACCCCATTCCTTCTCTCTAAGGTCAGTTTGCCCCTCCTTCTCCCTAAGGTGAGTTTGCCCCCACTCAGACTCCCAAAGGGCCAGGTGCCTGCAGCAGCCTCTAGGGGACCCTCAAACTCAACAAACCCCAGACCTGCCCCAACCCCCTACCCCATGGCTGTCACCACATGTTTCCCAACCCGAGGCGGCAGCCCCTTGCTTGACCCCAGCTGCGACGTGCGAATCTGAGCATCCACCTCTGGAGGACACCAGGATGCCTTCCTGGCCTCCTGCCCTGGGGCCTTCCTTGTCTGGGTTTGCTTCTTCCGGTGCTGTTGTCCTCCCAGGAACCCTCGCTTACGCCTGCCTGCTGAGCCCGCCTCACATGGCTCTTCAGCTAGTTCCATGTCGCCTGTGCCTCCTCCTTGGTGAGGCCTCAGTCAGGGACTCTGCTGAGGGTGTGCCTGGCCTTTGTTTCTCCTTCAGAAATGGAGCAGGTTTTGAGGACCTCAGCAGAGAGGTTTTGCCACCGTAGGACAAAGCCCTCCCCTCCCTCCACGCCGCCACCTGAGGTCTCCTGAGCTTGACCTCTGACACTCAGGAAAGGGCCCCCATCTGATGACCGAGCCAGCCCATGCGTTCAGGCCTTCTGCACCATCTAGTTGATGGTCTAGTCGCTCCCTGGTGTCCCCAGCCCCGGCCAGGCTGAGCATAAGGGCCAACGAGTCTCCAGGGGTCCTCATCCTAGCCCTCCATACCCACATGGTGGTGACTGGTGGTCTTGGCCATGGTGCCTGCTATGTGACCTGCTGCATTGAAGGGGCCTGGAGGGGGCGGCAGTCCTCATCCCTGAGGCCAGGGGAACCCACAGCACTCTCGAGTCAGAGCGGGCACTCACAGGGTTGGAGGCCACGACCCATCCAGATGACTACCACAGGCATGGTGCAGCCTGGACACGCAGGCGCACACACCCCTCCAGGTGGGGCCTACAGCTCTGGGCTGCCCCGTCCTGACCGCCCCGTCTCTGTCTTGTAGACCGACTTTGAGAAGGATGTGGATCTAGCCTGTAGATCAGGTGAGCGTCTGACAGGTGAGAGCGACAGGTGGCCCTCCCCGGGCCTCCCTGCTTCTTTCTCTTTACCCTGTGCGTCTGTGTGTCCATCTGTTCTCATCCACATCCCACCCAGACTGAGGGGGAGACCCAGGCCAGCCTTGGCACCCACCCCCACCCACCTTCTGATGGACTGGGCCCAAGGGGGCACACAAAGAAGCCGCCTCCAGAAACCTGTTCTGGGTACCGGCTGGGCAGGTGTGGGATTCTTAGGCCTTCCTCTCCTCTCTCCTTCTGTGTCCCCAGCCAGCCGAAGCTCCCACAGACCCTCCCAGTCCTTCACCCCCACCACCACCCCCATGCCCCGCAGCCTTCCTCCAGGTCCCAGGCATTGTCTCTGTGTTTCATCATCTCATTCCTGGGGGGTCAGAGGGGGGGGGCTTGTCAGTGGGATCAGAAGGATAGCATGGAGGAGGAGGATTCAACACTGAGCCGTTGGCTGATGCTATGCTTCCTAGAAGCAAGTGGAAAAAGAGAATCAGTTGCCCTGAGAAAGGAAGCCAGCGCACCTCCCCTCAGTGAGAAGCAGCCCAGGGTGCACGTTTGGGAACAGAAGCCCAGATCAAAGTGTAACCTGAGCAGGATTTGGGGTTACCAGGAAGTAACAGCACAGAGCCAGGATGGGCGCCCCCGCTGAGCCTGACCTGGCCCCCTTCCCACAGTGTTGAATAAGGACATCACAGCCTGTCGTACAGCCACCATCACCGGCACGCTCAAACGGCCGTCCCTGCCGGCGGAGGAGGAGAAGCTGAAGCTGGCCCACGTGCAGGCTCCACCCTCCAACTTCAATAGCCTTCCGGCCAATGTGTCCAAGCTGCATCTGCACGGTTCACCCCGCTACCCCGGCGGCGGCGGCGGGCCCCTGCCCGACTTCCCCAACCACTCGCTGACCCTCAAGAAGGACAAGGCAGCTAAGGCCTCCTTTATCGGCGACGGGGACATCTTTAAGAAATTGGACTCAGAGCTGAGCCGGGCCCAGGAGAAGGCCCTGGACACCAGCTACGTGATCTTGCCCACGGCCACGGCCACGCTGCGGCCCAAGGCCAAGGAAGAACCCAAGTACAGCATCAACATCGACCAGATGCCTCAGACCCGGCTCATCCATCTCAACATGGCCCCAGACACGGGTTTCTCGGCCCGAAGCCCACCCGCCCGAGAGCCCCCGGGCGCATCCCCTGAGGCACCCCCCAGCCAGCCCC